TGCCGAAGGTGAAGGCGCTGCAATGCGCCCTGGCGCTGGAGATCCGCTCTGTGAGTACCGGTGACGTCCCAGCCCCCGCCGCCTGGGTGCCAGTGAGCCCCCGGAGTTTACGCCGTCCACCTCCGAGAGCCCCGAGTCACCCCAAACCTCCTTCACTCTCCGAGCCATCCTTAGGTAGCCTCGACCCCTGGTCACCTCCGTCTTCTCACCGCAAACTCCTGAGCGCCCTCCCACTCCTGTCACGTAGAGGCCTGACCCCCCAGCACTCCTCGCTTCATCCCAGTTTCCACTTGCAGTTTCTTCCAATCTTTTCTAAGCAGAGATTCTCCCCACCCCCACCCCCAACTTTCCAGTGAGTTACCCGGGGGCAGGCTTCTCTTTATGGTTCTCTTTATGGCTCTCTTTTTCTGCTCCTGTTCTCTTAGTGTTTGTTATAGGCCCCGCTTCCCTCCTTTCTGGGGGTGGGGTGGGGGTAGGATAGTGAGCATTTCTTCCCAAATCGCTTCAGGCGGACTTTTCCCAATTCCCAACCTTCTGATTAGGGGCCTTTTACTCTCAGTATTCCAAGTCGAACCCCTACACCCAACAACTGAAGTATGCCGTCATTTCACCCAGCACCTTGCCAGCCCCTCAGAAATCATTGCAGCCCCTCCAACCCCCGAACCTGCCCAACATTAAGAGGCAGCCCCTTATCCTTCGTGTCACTCTGAGAAAGACATCCATTCACCTTTAGAGAGAAACTACTTTTCTCCGAACTCCCTCTGGAGGACCTGCAAGTCCACGCAGTTGCTCCAGCCTTGCTGAAGGGGCGCCACCCCCAACCTGCTGTGCAAATCCAGCCCAGTCCTTCCTCTAGCGAGGGGGCTTGGACCTCTCCATGCTCTGAGGAAACTTCCTTCCGCGCTCTCTTTAGAGAACCCCCTCCTTCTCTCCAGATGAGAGCTGCCCCTCTCCAAAGAGCTTTTCCATACCCCAGTTTGAGACCTCCAAGCAGTTGGGAACCCAAAATTCCTCCTTGAGTCCCCTTTTCCCTCCTCCCACCTCTCTTAGTCTTCTTGTCTCTCAAATCAGTCTTTGATCTCATCAACACTGGGAGTGGGTGGTGAGGGCATTTACATGTGCAACATCACTCCCCGGGGTGCTGCACCGCGCAGCCCTCTCCCTTCCTGCACGCCCTGCACACCCTGCACGCCCTGCATGCAAGGCTTCTCTTGCCCCTTACTCCCACCCTGGCAGCACCCCCCTTTCCCGGGGGTCCCGCCTGAGGCTGCTGCAGCACTGTCCCAGAAACCTCCCGGGAAGTCACAAGACTGTTTTAGGTCTTTTGTTAAGTCTGAAAGAAGGGAAGGCTGGGCGGGGCCGCGTGTGAGGCAGGGGTGGAGGAGATCAGTTTCTGGCACCTCTCTGTTTGCCTTTAAGCCAGCAGAGATTTTTCCCTCTGCTGCGTTGGAAACTCCATAGCCCTCGCGTCACATGTTTTCTTCCCAGAGCTGCCAACATTTGGCAAATGTTTTGCAAAGTGAGATTAGTTCAGCAAAAGAATACACAAAGTTTCCTAAACCACTTTTTTTCAGGGCAGTTGGCAAAACTCAACAGGCTTTGTGACTGGCTGCTGCTTCCTCTCTGCTAACCAATGGGGTTTTGCAGCCTGATGGGAGCGCGGCCTGGCTGGCTGGCTCTGCTTCTCTTCCTTCGCTGATACAGACTTTCTAAGAGGAAGTGCTTGCGTGTGCTGTAACTGATTACTCCTGGAGGAGTCTGAGAAACAAATGTTATTTCACTCTTCTTTCTCCTCAGTATTAGTTGCACTACACAAAGCGAGTGACTGTAAAACGGAACTTGGTTGTTCATGGAGGCTTAAGAGATTAAGCAGGTGGAAACATTCCTGTTTAAATTTTTTTTCCACCAAACTTTTGAGTCACAGGATTTTCATTGCTAAGAAATCTTAGCTTTCATTGGATTTATTCCTTTTTACAGGTGAGAAAATCATTGAGGCACAGCATGACTTTTTCTAGGGTTGCACAACTTTTAAGGGGCACATCTGCAACAATATGCTAAGTGTTCTGATCTGTACAAGCCTTGTGAAATGGCTCTGATGTTCAGAAGCAAAAAAGGCTGTTAATAACCATACAAATTTAACACTTTTGACTAATGTGGCTTTGCTTGAATAGAGGAATTATGTGAGGAATTATTGCATCTTTTCTGTTTAGATTTTTCTTTTCAATTTATTTTTTTGCATTTATATGGCATAAAAGTAAAAATGATATAAAATGATATACTCAGAGAAGTCTTGATGCCAGCCCTATTCAAACCTATTTCTATCTTTACTCATCTGCTATTGGTAACCATTTTTATTTGTTTTTTATTTATTCTTCTAGTATTTCCTTTTGTAATGTAGTTAATTAGATATACATACCTATACAATAACCCAACCCATGTTCTTTTTAGTTTTATTTTTTGAACAATAGGTAATATGTTCCATAAGCTATTCTGCACTTTGTTTTTTGCACTTATTAAACCCTGAGGATCATTCTACAACTATAAAAGATGGCATCTTCCTTTTTTCTCAACTTTTTATTGACATTTTTAATAAACATACAGAGTAGTTGGAAGAATAGTACAATGAATAACTATATCCCATGACATATGTACATTAATTTGATCTATTTGTACATATATGCGTATATATAATAAATATATTTTGCTGAAAACTTTCAAGTGAATTATTGATATCATGACATTTCACTCCTAAATACTTCAGTATACATCTTCTAAATATAAGGACATTTTTCTACATAACCACAAAACCATTACCACACACCTAAGAACTTAGTGATGCTTTTTTAATATCTAGGCCATATTCAAGTTTCCCGGTTGTCTCAAAAATGAATTGTGAAGTTAATTTTTTCAAACCAGGATCCAGTCAAAGTTTACATGTTGAATTTCCTTGTTAGGTCTTTTTAATCCATTTTAATATAAAGCAGTTCTACTTTTTCATCGCCTTGACATTTCCTTTCCCCACACACACACACAGTCTCCCTCCCCAATGAATTTAGATAAATTCATACCCTCATGTAACCATTACTCACATCAAGATTTAAAACACTTCCATCACCCCAGAAAATGCCCTAATGCCCCTTTAAACCCATGCAGAGGCAACTACTATTCTGATTTGTCACTATAGTTTACTAGGACTTGAACTTCATATTTAATGGGGCCATGTAGTGTGTCATATTTTGTGTTGGCTTCTTTTGGTCAGCATATGCTTGAGATTCATCCATATTTGTTGCTGTGTTTAACAGTGGTTTGGTCCTTTAGATTGTGGAGTAGTTTTCTGTTGTATGCACATATCATAATATGCTTATCTATTCTCTGTATTGGTGATTATTTGGATTATTTACAGGTTGTGGTTGATGGGATAAAGGTTCTATAAACATTCATTCTTGTAAAAATCTTTTTGTGCATTTTACCTTTTGAAGAGATGGGGTTCAGATATAGAATATCCTATGTTGTGTTATTGTTTGAATTTTTTGTAGTGACATTTAATTTGTTCCCCAGTTCCTATAAACTAGATATTAGATGTTTTATCTCTCCTTGCTTATTGAGTGTATGGCACTCCATTCTTCTCTCCCCTCATCCCCTCCATGTTTATTTATTTTTTAAAATATATTTTATTGATTTTTTACAGAGAGGAAGGGAGAGGGATAGAGAGTTAGAAACATCGATGAGAGAGAAGCATCGATCAGCTGCCTCCTGTACACCCGCCACTGGAGATGTGCCTGCAACCAAGGCACATGCCTTTGACCAGAATCGAACCTGGGACCCTTCAGTCTGCAGGCCGACACTCTATCCAGTGAGCCAAACCGGCCAGGGCTCCACGTTTATTTTTGCTGCAGTTTTATATTACTGGTAACCTCAACATTTTGCATTGCTCAACAGAGCCATATGACTTGAGGGAAAATATATTGCTAGGAATCAAGTGCGACTTTTTTCAATGAGTCTGGAGAATGATATGATATGCCAAGTAAATTGTTTTTAAAGAGCAGCAAAATAATATTTCCCATCACTTACACTTTTAGTATTTGAAACATCTGTGATATGAAAAAGTATTTTTTCTGTTTCTATCTTTTTATTATTCACTAGTTTGGTTTTCATGACATTATTTGGAAAAACGGAAGAAATTGGAGATATAAGAGTAAAGCCCAATGCCTGGGCAATGAAACAGGCTAATTCGCTTTACCTGAATAGTGCCAGTTTGGGGTTAGTTTATCTATATAATTCCAACTTTTTCTTCTCTATACTCACTTCACCCCATTACCTCACTCAGATTATTGATAGCATTGGGACAAACAGATCTGGGTCCTTTTCAGTCATTACTCAGCTGAATGTGGTCCTTGTCCACGTTTCTGTGGCGTGGTATCTCAGTTTCCCT